GTTTTTATTGCAGAGGGATCTAGATGTTCAAGTGCATGAGTCACAAATAGTTCAGGTAGGTGCTGCAAGTTATTAAGGTTCCTAATCAAATTTCATCCCTTATTACAGGAGGACTTTAACATGAAAGTAACAATGTTACGCTTCAGTTACAAACAGCACAGGTGAGACCACATCTCAAATACTAAGTGCAGTTTTGACCTTCTCATTTAAGCAAGGATATAAATGCATTGGAGCCAGTTAAGAGGTGTTACACACTAGATTGATTCCTAGAATGACTGGGATGTCTTAAGTTGGACGATAGGTTGGACAAATTGGGCTTGTTTACACCCGAGTTCACAGGGATGATTCGGTTAAAGTATATAAGATCCTGAACAGTCTTGACAAAATGGGTGTGGAAAGGATATTTCCTTTTGTGGGTCAATCCAGACCAGGGCACACTTTAAAAATTTGGGATTATTGTTTTAGGACAGAGATGAAGAGATTTTCTTTTCTCTCAGATTTGGAGACATCATAGAGTCTTACAGCATAGAAACAGATCCCTCAGTCCAACTAGTCAATGTCGACCATATTCCCAAACTAAACTAGACCCACTTGTCTGCATTTGGCCCATATCCCTCCAAACCTTTCTTATTTCTGTACTTATCCAAATGTCTTTTAAATGTTGTAATTGTACCTGCATTCACCACTTCCTCTGGCAGTTCATTCCACACATGAACCAAAATGTTGCCCCTCATGTCCTTTTAAAAGCTTAAAAAAAATGCCCCCTAATGTTGAACACCCCCACCCCAGAGAAAAAGACTTCTGCTATTCACCTCATGATTTTATAAACCTCTATAAGGTCACCTCTCAACCTCCTATGCTCCAGTGAGAAAAGTCCCAGCCTATCTAGCCTATTTTTATAACTTACACCCTCCATTCCCGGCAACATCTTGGTAGATATTTTCTGAATCCTCCCCAATTCAATAATAATATCCTTCCTATAGCAGGGCGTCCAGGACTGTACACAGTACTCCAGAAGAGGCCTCACCAACATTCTGTACAATCTGAACATGACATCCCAATTCCTAAATTTAAAAGGTCTGAGCAATGAAGGCAAGCATGCTAAACGCCTTCTTAACCACCCAGTCTACTGTGAAGCAAATTTCAAAGAATTATGTACCTGAGCCCCTACATCTCTCTGTTCTACAACACTAACAAGGGCCCTACTATCAATTGTATCAGTCCTGCCTTTGTTTGTTTTACCAAAACGCAAACTAAACTCCATCTGCCATTTCTCAGCCCATTGACCCAATTGATTAAGATCTCTTGGGTTTCTTTGATAACTTTCACTGTCCACTACACCACCAATTTTGGTGTCAGCTGCAAATTTACTAATGAGGCCTCCTATATTCTCATCCAAATTATTTATTTAATGGGAACACCATATCATAAAGTGGTGGTGGTAGGGTAATTGCATCTTTCTTAAGACAGAGTTAGGTTGATTCCCTTGCTTAATAAGAACCTAAGGTCATTGGGAGTAGCTAGGAATGTGGAATTCAAAATCCAAAAAGATCAGCCTGAATAAAATTGAACCTCGGTGGAAATCAGGTGGAAAAATATCTTCACTGGCTGAAGAGGTAATTAGCACAAAGGAAGTCATGTTGTGGTTGTTGGAAGCCAAACATTTCAGTTTCAGAGTATTGCTGCAGGAATTCCTTAGACAGTGTTCTAGGCTCAACAATCCTTAGCTATTTCAACAATGACCTTCGCTTCAAGTTGGGGTTGGATCTTACAGCTCCAACCTCGGGAGTGTTTTTGGCACGGCAAGGACAAGAAAAGTACATGAGGATTCTAGTTCATTACACTTCTGCCCTCTCTGATCTGTTAATATATAATAGTGGGTAGACAAAGTGCCCACTAGGCCACCCATTTTTAAGATTGAGGCCTTTAACTGCTCAATTAAGTAGCAATTTAGGATGTCAAACCACTTCCATAAAGTACTGGGCAGCGGCAGGCAGACCAGACTTTGAAGATTGTTTTTGAAAATTCATTTTTTAACACGGCAGAGAGCATATAAATTGGAATAAAAACCGAAAGAACCGCGGATGCTGTAAATCAGGAACAGAAACAGAAACAAAAACAGGACCCTTCTGAGGATCACCGGACCCGAAATGTTAACACTGATTTTTTCTTCACAGATGCTGCCAGACCTGCTCAGCTTTTTCAGCAACTTGTTTTTATTCGGCATTTAAGTTGGTCATTCTGCATTCATTGGGTGCACCCCACCTTCTTCAAGCTGTCACTTACCACCCACTTGGTTCCTCCTGACTAAAACCTCCAAACTCTTCCTTCCACCTCCTCAGCCCCTTGCCCTGCCTCATGTGCCCAATCCCCTTCTGTCCTGAAAACCCAGGGCTTTCCTCACTCTGGTCACCATTCTTTATGGAGATGTATACAGTCCAATACTGTCCTGCAGGATATCTGTTGATGATTACACAGCATTAAATTCCATCTGCAGCTCCTTAGCTAAGAAGTAATCGCCGCTCACATGCACCAGGACGTGGTCAATGCCCAGGCTTGAGTTAAGTGACAAGCAATACCCAGGTGCCAGACAACGACCATCTCTATCATGAAAGAATCTAACCACTCCCCACGACATTCAACAGAATTAACCATTGCTGAATCATCTACCGTCAATATTCTGAGGGTCACCACTGACCAGAAACTTAACTGTGGCTACAATAACAAGTCAGAGGCTGGGATTCCATGGCAATTAACTCACATCCTAATTCCCCAAAGCCTCTCCACCATACCTCAGCTAAGGGGAGAGGTTGAGAAGGAGAGACCTTCAGGATGCAAGCATCCCATCGAAGTGAAAAAAAAGTATTAAGCATGGTGTTGGTTAATTTCCTTTGAACTGAGTGGTTTACTTGGACTTCAGAGGGCAGTGAAGGATGAAACCTCTTTGCTGGGGGCATGTAGAGTTTCATGCAGACCAGATTGGATAATGATGGCAGAATTCCTTCCTTAAAAAACATTACTGTTGATGTTTTGATAGTTTTGTGGTCACCATAACAGAGATTAGCTTTCAACACCAGATTTTATTAAGAGAATTTAGATCCCGCCAACTGACACGCAGGGATTTGTACCCATGTCCTTGTCATACTGGAGTCCAAGTCATACTGGACTCAAAACTTTAACTATGTTTCTCTTTCCACAAATGCTACCAGAGCTGAATTTCTCCAGCATTGTTTTTATTTCTGATTTCCAGCACCTGCAGTATTTTGCTTTTATCCTTGGAATGTTAGCCTGAGCCTTTGGATTACTAGGCCAGTGACATTGCCACCATCGCCCCAATGTGCATGAGTTCATTAAAAAAAAAGATCTGTTGGGTGATCTCTAACAAAACTGTCACTAAGATCAGAAACTTATCAGGCGCTACTACAAATATGTCCTGTTGGCTCATACAATCCTTTAGCACGTAAATTGCAACCAGTTTATTATTTGTTTTTACGGGATTGGTCTCAAAACATGCCAGCATTTCTGCTCCTCCATTTTTATGTCCAAAGCACTTGTTTTACATTGGCACAGGTAAGCAAAATCAGTTTCACTGATGCAGTTATCTCCACAGGATTTATGGTACTATTTGAAATTAACTATTTACTTATGAAGTTCTAATGCAACTATAAATTAGTGCCTGTAATGCCATTATAGATTGATATACATGTGAGAAATTAATTCTCAAAAGAAGAGGGTTTACAGGTATTATAAGATACTGATGGTCGTCAGGACAAACTTTAATCTTTTACCAATTTTACTGTGCTGCACAAGTCAGTACATCACAAAATTAATTCAATAAATATTATCATTGTTAACTAATCCATACATTAAAGTTTTTTTTAAAAAACGTAATTCTTCACCCTAGCTAAACCTACTGGTAGGTAGAAAAGCTAGAACCACTTCCCTCAGATAATCCTCTCCTCAATAATGAGTTTCGGTGTAAATGTCTGAGAACAGAACACAGACATTCCCTGTGAGAATGCAGAAATTTGTCTTATTGCTTTTCCAGGACACAGATCTATAAAAGTATTAACCCCAGTGACTGAGTCATACTGCAGAGTGGTGCACTAATATCTCACAAGCAGCAAATCCTAATTCCACTTAACACTCGATAAGTTTCTGATCTTGGTGACAGTTTTGAAGGGAGAGGGGAAATTCACCAGAATCCAGGGAGGATGAAGGATGAGAACCAAGAATGGAGTCTATAATTGGACCACTGACCTCTGGAAAGAAAAGCAGAATTGAATATTTAGGGAATTAGAGAACCTGGTGGGGGAATAGGAATATTTATGATGATGATATTTGCCATCTTATTTCAATTATAGCTGATCATTTTTAAATGGAAAGGCTAAGAAAGGTGTTTTTTATTCAAACTACTCATTTTTTTTTTGCAAGAATTTTGACTTATTTTATTTAATAGAATGTTGACTTGGGTAGTGGAAGATAGATCCCAAATTGGATCTCCATGTTGAACCCTAACATGGGAGTGTACCCTTGCTTCTCAGTGGCATCAAGAAACAGCGAGTTCAAATTGGTTGTACCTAAAGGCTTCTAATTTTCCAGTGCAGTTTCCTGATATTGCATAGATTGGAAATAGTCTTTAGGCCTGCTAAAATCATATGACCATTCTTTACCGACAAAAGTACTCCAGGATGTACGTTCTCAGGGTGACTTAATAAGTGCACAGAAATTTAATTCTGACATTAAAAATTACTTCTTTATGGGAAAGAAAATCAAAATTTATCTCTGAATTGTTTTTTTTCTATCAAAAGGAGAACAATCAATAAAAAGTTGTTTCCAGACAATACTTTCATCTCTTAATCATTGTGCTTTATTAGTTTACAAAAATGAGGCACTCACTTATTCACTAGACTGCCTGGTTAGTGCTATTAATTAACAAGGTTACTTTCACTGAAAACCTCATTTATTGTTAAGTACGACAAACAGAACAGTCCACTTACCATAAAATGAGGTCGCGTTAGGATACACTTCAATTCCTTTGCATCACTGTTTTCAGGATAGCATGAAATCTCTTCCAAAACCTACAAGATGTAACAAATTCATAATAAGCCTCTGCAAGTACTAAACTGAAAAATTCAGTTATACCACAATCTAAAGTCGAAAATTAGTTTGGGGAAAAAGAAGGAATGCGGATATTTTCTCAGTTTTGTTTAAAGCTATCTTATAGTGAGTGAACCATATCTGATCTACGTGGACTTTGTTCCATAACTCAGCTGCAAAGCAGATATAAAGTTTGTGGGAAAATTAGGCCATGATGCCCCCTGCTGCCTCATTATTTGAACCCTGGTTTTCTTCCATCTTGTCCTGTCCACTGTATGCAAATGCTAATCTTCGTGGTGGGCCGAGGTTTGTGACAGATTTCCCAGCTGTGAACCTACTGCTACTCTCTGCAACCACCTGCTGGAAGATGGTGATAGGGCCCAGAGCTATGACGACAGCCATAATATGCTCAGATGGAAGAACAAGGCCAAAATGTCTTTACTTAAGCTCAATGGACTCACTTTAATCTGGCCTCAAGTTCTTCGTTCATTTATCTTTAATGCTCTGCAAGTTTCCAAGGCAATTCTTTTAGTGTTGTAAAGAAAGTCCAGAGGAATTGGTTTCACTTGAATTGTGGGACCAGTGTCCCGTTAAATCGAATAACTAGACTGTAGACAGGGCTTTAAACTCATTACAGGGAAGGGGTGAGGTTTGGGGGAGAGGGGAAATGTAGTCTTACAAAGCAAAGGCAGCATTTTAGGCAGCTATTGAGTAATAGCTGGGGGTGGCAGTATTTATGAGTGCAGTTGGGGATGGTTTGAACTAAAATGGCAGAGGTATAGGAACCTATACAGGGAGATTGAAGACAGGGAAACAGGAAAAAAAACAAAAGATAGAATAGAAAATTAAAAAAGCGATAAGCAGAGAATTCAAGGGCAAGAATCAAACAGGGATGCAGTGCAAAACTAATGGAATGTTAAAAAGACAAGCATTGTGTCTGAGTGTGCTGAGCATTCACAAAAAAGTTGGTGAATTAGTCATGTAAACAGATATAAACAGGTGTGATAAAGTTGAGATTGTGGAGACATGGCTGCAGGGTGAACAGGGATAGGAATTGAATATCCAGGGGTGTTCAGTTATTATGAAGGACAGACTAAAAGGAAAAGGAAATGCAGTAGTGTTGCTGGTTAAAGAGAAAGATTAACACTATGGTGAGGAAGAATTAAAAGTGGGGGTTTTATATAGAAACCAAAATTGTAGTAGTAATGTTTGGAAAGGTACCAAACAGGAAATTAGAGATGCAAACAATAGGTACAGCTGTAATTATGGATGATATTAATCTGCATATAAGATGGCAAGTCAATTCAGTAACAATACCATAGAAGGGGAATTCTTAGAGTGTTTCTGGATCAATGTGTTGACGAACCAACTCAATAACAGGTCATCCTAGACTAGCATGGCTTCCAGAATGGGAAATCATATCTGGCAACTTTATTACCATTCTTTGAGAAAGCAACAGGATAGATAAGGGGAAGCAGTGGAGGCAATATACTTGGATTTCCAGAAGACGTTTAATAAGGTACCACATGTAGGCTACATCATAAGATAGAGTCCATGGTGTTGCAGGTAGTATATTAGCATAGAGGATTGCCTAACTAATAGAAGACAGAGAGTTGGCTTAAAGGGGGCATTTTCATTATGGCAACCTGTTACTACTGGAGTACCACAGTAGTCAGTGCTGGGGACGAAATTGTTTTCATATATGTTAATGACATGTTTGATCAAAGTAAATATACTCCACTCAGATTTGTGGATGACACATAAATAGATGGGATGGCAAGTGGTGAGGACGACAAAAAGAATTTGCAGCGGGATATAGACAGAGTAAGTAAGTGGGCAAAATTTTGGCAGATAGAGATGGACAAATTTTAAATTAGTAAAAGAATCAAGGGTTATAGGGCAAACAATGGGCCGCTAACTTTTGCTTAACATGAGGAAACACAAGTTAAATGGTGTAAGTTTAAAAATGGGTGCAGAAATACACACACCTGGATTTGAAAAATCAAATATTTTTCATAAAGTCTGCAGGATCCCGAGCTTTATAAAAAGAGGCATAGAAAACGAAAACTAAAACAAGAATGTCATACGCAACATTTATGAAATATCAATTAGACCTCTGGAGTACTAACCTTGAACACAGTATTCAATCCTGGGAGCCAAACTTTAGGACGGGTATCAACAACTCAGTGCATGCAGAAAAGACCTAATAACTATTAGGAGATTGAAAAAGTTGGGTTTCTTCTTGGACTAGAGAAAGTTAAGAGCTAATGTGAGAGAGATGTTTAAAATTATGAAGCTTAAGAGTGAACAACAATAAACTGTTTCTAATGCCAGGAGAGTCAATAAACAAAGACCAATTTAAGACAACTGGCAAAGGAACTAGAAAGGAGATGAAGAGATTTTTCAACGCACTGAATTATAATGCTGTGAAATGTGCTGCTTAATTAGCTCGTGAAAACAGACTGAATAGTAATTTTCAAAATGCAACTGGATGTAAACTTGAAAAGGAAATATTTGCATGTTTGTGGGGAATAGCTGGAACTAATTAGATAGCTTTTTAAAAGAGCCAACATAATCAAAATTTGCTGAATAGTCTTTTTTTGCACTGTACAATTCTTTGATCACTTGAGGGAAGATGATAGGTGAAAATTTGCCCACTTACCTTGCCCATATTTGACCTGAAACTATGAGACTTCACGGTATCAACAGTCAGTGTTGAGGAATCTTAGGTCCACCTCCAGTGGAATTGATATATCCAGGGGTGGTGAGGGAGTCTGGAATAATGGCTAATGGGTAGGATTTTGAGAGTCAAGCTGGTGCTTGAAACATATTTGGGTTTGCTCCTAAGTTCAGCTCCAACTCCCAGATATCAGTGGGAATGACTTTTCAGAGTTGACTGCACTGGTTGTACTCAGGTCATGGCCTGATTTGATTTCTAGGTCACAACCTACTGGTTCCTTTCAATCAACTTGTTTTACAGCCTAAAACTGTAAGGCTTTTAGGCACCTTAAGGGAGAAGTTCAGTATCAATCATGGTGATATGGAACTGCAGATACACATAGGTCAGGTTGTGTCAGAATGGTGGGTTAGTCCTAAAGGTCATTTTTGAATTTCTCAGTAAATTTACTAATATCTATAGATTTTATTTCAACTGAACTTGTTTGATCCAATATGACGGTAAAGTAGGATACTTCAGCAGGAGCTCATCCACTCCATCGGTATCTTTTTCTTTTTTTCTTCTCTTTTGTGTTTTGTTCCTTCCTTCCTTTCTCTCAGAGACATCCTGAACTTCCAAACTCAGCATGGACTCGGCGAGGTGTTTTATCAGCCTGCGTGGTGGTCTTTTGGTAACCTGTGGCAGTCTTTCAGCTTGGCCTGGCCTCAGTGTGCACTTCTGGCCTCAATGTGATTTCAGGTCAGTCTTGTGGCCTTCAGAGCCTTGAGGTGAAACCCAGTGTGATCTGTAGTCAAGGCCTGACACAGACTGGAGGCTAGGTACCAGCGTGGACTAGGTTGGAAGGACTGTTGTTCTGAACTCTATTTCTCTTTTTTTGAATTTATTCCTACAATCTGTAATACTGGACTTTATATTTCTTTATTTTTCCGTTTTTTCCTTAAGAACTTGTACTGAAGAATCTGTACCTAGGTACCTTGTACCTAAGACTGTGCCATGAGTGACGACTTATAAACTTTTCATTGTACTCATCTAAGTACATGTGACAATAAAGCTGATCCAGTTCAAATTTGGTGGGATTTGAATTTTGCTAGATTTCTGATTCCGTAACATAACCACGATTCCTCCAAACTCCATAATCAGATATGAGTGTCCGAAGACATACTTACAATGTTACCAACCATAACAAAACAAAACAAAAAAAAATCCAATTCAAGATCACGCAATGCAGAACAAGAATCCTTGGAGTATACATTACAATTGTGTATGGTTCAATAATATCTCAAGCCTACACAAGGCTAACTATAGTATCATCTGCTTAGATATTGGCCTTCATCAAAATTGAAAGTTCAGATGACAATGGATACGAAACATTATTTGCTATGATATGAAACAGTAGGCTCACAGAATGATCAACATGAAAATATTAATCTAACGCACAAAAGGTTACATACAATGCAACTAAAATTGTGCAACTTGCCTCTTTGGCTCTCTGGACAGCATCACTGGGTGGATTCCTAATCTGTGGTGATGACTTTGTGTTGATCTTGTCGTACAGCTAGCACAGAAAAAATAAAATAAAAATAAAATGTAAATAATAGGTATATATAAACAATGATCTGTTTATGATTGTAAACTCTTTCCTTTCCAAAAATGACTCACATAGATTACTCACTCACTGCAGCACATATACTTTTATAATATTTTTTACTAGGGCAAATTTGCAATTCACTGCTGCTTTTTGATAGGACTAGATTTGTTAAAGCTGGTGTTTTTATTGTGCAGTGTATGAATAACTAAGTTATGATTCATATGTTTTAGAATACAACTTCTGGTTTAATTGTTGAAAATGGGAGTAACTGGTTGAATATATGGTTAAAGCAACCATGAATAAAAGGCAATTCACAAAAGTGGAATTTAATGTACTTCAAAGGTCTCATTGATTTAAGAGATTCATAACGAGAAAGATCACGAACAGTGTACGGTTTATGTAGCTAAAGAACTGGAGACATACTTTTGCAGCTATTCCAGCAGAGGATAAGTAATTCATGTGGTTGCCCATAATTTTAGAAGCTTCTGGAGTTAAACGTTAATTTCCATCTATACATGTGAATAGGCTGTCTCACACTGACATAGAAATGCGTAGAGCTGAATATGTTATGAATGCTCATAATACATTGTCAATGTTTTAAGAATGTGGATTCTAAAGCAGAGGAAAATGGATTTTAGTTTCTCGTTGCTATGAAGGTATTGGTCAGGAAGTCATTTTGAACAAAGTTCAAAACAGCATAGAAATAATGGGGTTTTAGCTAAATGACCAGCAAGCCACCTGGGGAGATAATTGAAGTTTTTGCTGACTTGATGTTACCACCACTAGATAAAGAAAGGGCTAGAAACAGGTTAACGCCAGGAATAGAGGCCCATAATACTAGAGACCCTGTCATTAGTAGTCTCCAAACAATCAGAGTTGGGAAGACGTCCTGCAGTGCTTAGACAGCATTGAGAAGTAAGCTTCAGAAGCTGGGATATTACAGGACAAATATTCTATGAGATTGTTGAAAACATGGGTTTAGGTAATAGTGATCTGAGTTAGCAGTTTATCCTAGGACAAACATCAACTGAAGAAAATAGCACCAAGTGAATGTGCAGTAATTTGACAAAAGGAAACTGATTACAGCTATGACAGCTGAGCAAGAGGTTTTGGCATGGAGATAAAAGTGGCTTCTTTGGGGTTTCAGTGTCTTTAATGGAGTTGCTGGCATAAAGGGTTGAATTATTTTTCTCATGTTAGTAAGGAGATTGCATCAACAGTATTTGTCTAGTTTAGTTTGTTTTTCTCATGGAATAAATTTTTGATGTTTTGTTAAAAAGTACGCGGGTAGCATCTTGTGAATATGCTCAATGATTGACCATCCTGGCAAAGAAACTGAAAAATAAAGATTACGGTCTGTGAAGCTAGGTTTCACTCTGTCATCTGACTTGTCCAATATTACTTTTCTTTGAATATATCTTTGTGAATTCCTTTAGAGCACAGCCAGCTGACAAGATGGGTTGATGTCAGAAATGGAGCTGAGCAGCTATACCTGGAAGTTCTGAAAGAGATAGCTGAGGAGATCGTACAGGCATGCGAAGTGATCTTTCAGGAATTGCTAGAGTCAGGGAGAGCCCCAGAGGGCTGAAAAATGGCTAAAGTGACATTCCTGTTTAAGAAAGGGTGGAGGCAGAAGACAGGAAACAACAAGCCGGTTAGCTTGACCGTGGTCGTCGGTAAGATTTTAGAATCTATCATTAAGGTTGAGATTGCGGAATATTTGGAAGTGCTTGATACAACAGGGATGAATCAGCACTGCGTTGGCAAAAGGAAGTCATGCCTTACAAATCTGTTAGAATTCTTTGAGGCAGTAATGAGCAAGTTAGAGAAAGGAAAGCTAGTGGACATGATCTATTTGGACTTCCAGAAGGCCTTTGACAAGATGCTGCTAAATAAGAGTCTATGGTGTTAGGGGCAAGGTGCAGATAGAGGATTGGAAGCTTGACAGAAGGCAGAGAGTAGGGGCAAAATTGTGTATTTCAGGATAGCAGACGGTGACTACAGGAGTTCACAGGGGTCTGTGTTGTGGCAACAACTATTCACATTATACATTAATGATCTGGATGAAGGAACTAAGGACATTGCTGTTAAGCTTGCAGGTGACACAAAGATATGTAGAGAGGGAGGTAGTGTTGAGGAAGTGGGGAGTCTGCAGAAGGACTGGGATAAGCTAGGGGAATAGGCAAATAAGTGGCAGATGGAATACAATATGGAAAGTGAGAGGTTATGCACTTGGATAAGAAGAATAGTGGCATTGACTATTTTCTAAAAGGGGAAAGGCTTTGGAGCTCTGAAGTGCAAAGGGACTTTGGAAACTCTGAAGCGCAAAGTGACTTTGGAGTCCGAGTTCAGGATTCTCTTAACGTTAATATGCAGGTGCAATTGGCAGTAAGCAAGACAAATGCAATGTTAGCATTCATCTCAAGAGGGATAGAATACAAGAACAGAAATGTACTGTCAAGGTTGTATAAGGCTCGGTCAGACTGCAGTTGAAATATTCATAGAATCATAGAATCCCTAAAGTGTGGAAACAGGCCCTTCAGCCCAATAAGTCCACACCGACCGTCAGAGCACCCCACCCAGACCCATCCACCTATAACCCACCTAATCTATACATCCCTAGACACTATGGGCAATTTAGCATGGCCAACCCATCTAGCCTGCACATCTTTGGGCTGTGGGAGGAAACCGGAGCATCCGGAGGAAACCCATACAGACGTGAAGAATGTGCAAGCTCCACACAGACAGTTGCCCGAGGGTGGAATTGAACCTGGGTCCCTAGCGCTCTGAGGCAACAGTGCTAACCACTGAGCCACTGTGCCGCCCGTATCATGAGCAGTTTTAAGCTCCGTATCAAAGGAAGGATGTTGCTAGCTTTGCAGCGGGTCCAGAGATGGTTTACAAGAATGATCCTGGGGGTGAAGGGGTTGTCATATGAGGAATGGTTGAGGACTCCGCGTCTGTACTCGACGGAGTTTAGAAGGATGAGGGGGGATCTGATTGAACTTACAGCATACTGACAGGCCTGGATAGAGTGGACATTGAGAAGGTGTTTCTGCTAGCTGGACAGACTAGGACCGAGGGCATAGCCTCAGAGTAAAGGATCTACCCTTTAGAACTGAGATAAAGAGGAATGTCTTCTGCCAGGTGGTTGTTAATCTGTGAAACCCACTGCTGCAGAAAGCTGGGGAGGCTAAGTCATTACTGCATTTAAGATAGCGATAGATAGGTTCTTTACTGGTAAGGGGATCAAGTGTTATGGGGAGAAGGCAGGAGAATGGGGTTGAGAAACATATTAACCGTTATCGAATGCCGGAGCAGATTCAATGAGCTAAATGGCCTAATTCTGCTCCTCGGTCTTATGGAGGGACTGTACTAGCTTTGGGTTTTAAATATCTCCTCAGAAGTTGAGAGATAAAGCCAGACTCACACCTCAAGTAGAGTAATTGCTCAATTTAATGTCTAAGGTGCAACCTGTGATTGGGTGGTTGGGATTCAGTTCAAGACAAAGTTGGTGAAGAGGGACAAAACAATCCTGGAAGATTTATTTGGCTTGAATCTTACAAATGAAATCTATGATATCTTCTCAATAAGAGGCAGTTAACTTGTTGCAGTCTAAGTTCTGGATGTAATGAGCTTGATTACGGTTTGAAATCATAGCAATGGATTACTGAAAAATGTTTTCTGATGTTTTAAAACAATGCTCAAGGAGTCATAGGGAAGCCTGTGTTTGAGCTGTTGAACGCAGCAAGGTTGGTAAAGAAAGAGGAGGGGCATTTAATTATAGGAGTAATGAAAGACCTTATGAAATTCTGTACCTTGGAGAGTAGCTGGAATACTGAAGAGAAATTAGATTGAATTCCAGTGAGCAGTAATATAATGGCAAGATGTTCAAAGGAAAATTAGTGAACATTGAAGAATGTCAGATAAGGGAATTCTTGTGATGAAGTAAAAGGTAGAATCTTTATAAACTATTGTATTAAGTTACTGTCATGTAAATGTTTGTATATGAACTTCAGTTGTGTTTAAAACATGAAATCTTGTGGCCAAGGTTGGTTAATTGCTGGGAGTTCAGATTTATTCTTTAAACATTAATGGGCTCCAACAGGATCATAACAGCAGGAATGATGAAACATTTCATATGTGTGATTCTTTAATAGCTGCAAGTGGAAACAGATGGATTCATTTCCATCCACATTTGAAAAAAATAACTATTTTCTGTCAATATGTGCATAACCTTCAGTCAAACCTCTACCTCTTGTGGTGCAGTGATCGTCTTGTTACCCCAGGACCTGGAGGCCTGTGTTCAATTCCCACCTGCTCTAGAGGTGTGTAATAACATCTCTGAACAGGTTGATTTGAAAAATAGTTTAATTTTAAAAAATGAAAAGAAATATGTGCCATCATAAAAGTCCACCACGTATATAGGTGGACGTTTTCTGATACAGCTTTATTGTGACTTCAGATGGAAGACAATTAATGGTAATTAAGTGATATGATAACATTCAATTTGAATCACATGATACTCACTGGCAAGTCTTTTAAAACTGCTTTCTTCACTTTTAAAAACACACTTCTGTTCTTTGAAAATAAGAAAAGTACTGATAACGAAGCTTTAGCTAATATTTTTTCCACTACTAGGACGTCCACCTTCCTATGAACTCACCACTGACCACACAATTATAGTTCAGCAACTCTGTCAGCTGGAATTTAAATCATACAGGGGTGGTACGTTCCCACAGAAATAGAAAATTGTACTGCAACAACCATTAAAAAATAACCTAAGGAAGACCATGGAGCAGCAAAGGTGGAACAATGTACAGCTCTGTGGAGCAGTGAGATTCTATCCATGGAAGGAAAATTAGTACATGTATAATCTACATACAAGTCAGGTAATGTCAATTCAAAGTGATGCAGCTGGAGGACATTACACAGATTAGCTGGGATATATGATACGTAGTTATGGA